TATATATATATACATTCACTAAAAATTTTATGTTTTTCTCTAGAATTGTTTTAAATAATGTATAATGCTATTTGGATCATGTTTGGATCCTTATATTCATGATTTTCCAAGGAACTTTGTCTTCTACCCTTGAGTGTATTAAAAGGGTAATATTTTTTTCAATCAAGTATGATGTAGTATCTAACATTAATCTTTTATTTGAAATATGCTTGGTTCCATATATTAATAGTTTTTTAATGAATTTTGTTTTATAGGCATGAGGGAACAAAGACAATACAAATTTTTTTCTATGAGAATTTGATGTAGTGCTCTAGAATAATTGACCAAATGTTATTATATGAGTCTTCAAACTAACCTCATTTGCCTAAGAATTTCATCCTGCACATAAGCGGGATCAAGCCCATGACCCTAGAAGTTTTGCAAACTCTGTCAACCAAAGAGTCACGGTAGGCGGTACAAAATTATTTTAGATAATGTATTATGCTATTTGAATAATGATTGGTTTTATATATTAATGATTTTTCAGTTTTTATTATTAATTAGCATGAGGGTACGAAAAAATTACAAAAAAATGTACAAAGAGCGTACAAATCTATTTTTCAAGAAAAACTTTTATGTAGTTGTCTATTTTATTTTAAACAATGTATTTTGCCTTTTTAAACATCTTTTGTTCCATTTATTTTGGTATGAGAAGAAGTGTGCAGAGGCCAAAGTAAAGAAGTATAATAAGTAGAAGCGAAGAGACGTAATATTAGAAGAGAAAAGAATTAGAAGAAGTAGAAGAGAAAAGAAGTTGAAGAAGTAGAAGAGAAGAGAGGAACAAAACTTATAATGATGTTTGACATGGCTGAAGAGTATCACCCATGGGGAAGCAGATAATAGAGATCACCAAAATGGGAGAACAATTCAAGGTGAGGGAGTGATGGATTTCTCTGTCTATAGACAAGGGAGGGGTTAAAATAAGGAGAGGCGGTGGTGGCCAAAGGGTGGAGTGATTGACACTTAAAAAATTGAGTTTAAGCCCCTCAAATCGCTGGTGGCGTGGTCACTTTGTCGGCTAGTTTAATTACATATGTTCTCAACTAGGGTGGAGTAGCGCGAGGGGCCTCAAAGGCCCCTTGGCTTTGCCTTGTGCAACGCTGAAGTGCTCAAAGAAGCCTTGCAACTCTAAATCATCTTGCGACTTAGGCGTGTCAGAAGCGGTGTGGCCACGCCAAAGTATGTTGTAGTTGTATTGGCCAGGCTTTAGTTTCTAAGGGATTTTTAGCTTGCTTCTAGCTTGGAAACCTCGACATAGTAAAATGTCCTCCCTTGGAGGATGTGTGGATATTTTAATCAAGAAATGGTTGACAAAAAATGAGGTTAACACTCTCTTTGAACCCTCAAGCCTATAAGAAAATTTTCTTCGAAAAAAATCAATTTATGAAACAACATATGATTCAAAGAGCATTATATAAAGCTTAAAAAAATTCTAAAGCACTACATATGATTTTTAGTGAAAAAAATTGTCATTTCTGTATGTACCTTCAAGTCTATAAGAGAGTTCATTGAAAAATTATTATTATTTGAAAGAAAACTTGCTTAAAATAAGGCATCGTTTAAAAAATTTAGAGGACTAGAAAAGCATAATCCTTGGAAAATATCCATTGTAGTCTTATATTTTTCAATCAAAGGTCATTGAAAACCATTAATTTGTGAAAGAAAACATACTTAAAATAGCATAATACATAGTTTTAAACAAAATAAAATGGCTACAAAAGCTATTTTCTTGGAAAAATAGAGTTAGAACCAAACTAAATCCTTCTTATACCCTTAAAATGGTCGTGCAAATTCATTTAAAAACCATCAATATATGGAACCAAACGTGCTCAACATTGCTTAATAGATTGTTTAGAACAAAACAATATGAATACATAAGATATTCCCTTGAATAATATGTTTGTACCCACTTTATACCATATTTGTACCCTCGTGCTTATTATGTTTATATCCATAGCAATAAGAGACTTAAAAACTAAGCCAAAATTCAGAAATCGTTCGAAATCATTATATATGAAAGTAATGTGAGTATAAAATATTAAAATATAGTATTTCATTTATTACCAGCCGAAGAGTATAAGTGATCATCCTTTTAACAGTGAACTAAGGAATTTATCCCTCGTGCAAACTTCAAGCATGAGGGTATTTGAAATTATTAACCAACGTCGCACAACTTCAGGTTGAGTCGGGCTCAACGTCATTATTTGCTGATTTTGAATATGTATGCGAGTCCCAAATGAGCCAACCACAGATCAATATGCTATTAGGTCTGGATGTAGATCTTCATTCTGTGTCTAGACATGGTATTTCCTATTAATCACTGAGGAGTTAATTATTTTTATGATTTTGTGTACTCTCAATGAAGATGTTTATATTTTGCATGAGCATGTTATTACATTAAATTACCACCCTCCCGTATAATTGTCCGTTGTTTGATTTCATGCCAACAATAATTAGAAAAATTATTATTATAAATTCTACATATAACTTTGGATATTTTTTCTATTAATAGTATTTAAAACCAATATTTTAAACTCTGATAACCCGTGCCATAACTACCAAGTCAAAATAAAAAATGATCATTCTTATAACTAATGAGTTAATATATGAAGGGGCTATTTGGTAATGAATTTAGAAAATTTTGTAAATCCTAATTTACTAAATTCTACTATCTTTAAAATTCCGTAAATGAAGGATTTAATAAAATTGAAAAGAAATTGAGAAGCAACTAAATTTACTAAATTCAAAATTTAAAAATTATCTTTTTTTTTTCTAATTAATAAATTTTAAGTTAAATTTGACTTAAATTCACTACCTGACAACCGTGAAGACTGTTATTTGTTGAGGTGTTTGGTGTTTAGTATGTGATTAACGTTGTCTCATAACAAGAGCTAAGGCTTTCTATAGTGATTGTTGATGCACCTAATATGAGCCAAGGTGATCTTTATCGATCATTACTGATCTTAATACACTTTAAATGAATAAATGATGTTCTAGGATTTTTTTTTTATTTTTTAGTGTTGTGTAATTGAGTTCAACCTGTTATATCCTATAAGATGGTTTGAAAGTTGTACATGATTTGGTTCACAACTCCACTAGCCAACTTAATTTTCAAGGAAATAATTTCTTAATTTAAAAAAAAAATGACACAACGCATGAAACTGGTTTTAAATTTTATCTCAAGTTTATTTAAGAAGTTTTAAATATGTATATTTTCATTTGAACATTAGCACTAATTATCATTTTGGATGATATTTGATTTGAAATTTGAGTTAAATAAGTTCACAAAAGGATTTAATTTGAATTATAATTGATGTGTTCTTCATTTTAAAAACCTTATTTCTATAAATAATTGAAATTATTAATGATGAATTAAAAATTAAAATAATATATAAAATGTTGTTGCTATTAATCTCTTCAAATAAGAAATTCAAATTGTTGCAAAAAGAATATATATTATTAAGATTACCATGAGAAAATAAATATTACAACACGATTATACTTACAAAAATAAGTACAGAATAACAATAAAATTTCATATCTTCTCTCATGATTTTATACTAGATTTGATTTCGTGTGGTAGCGCTAGTGATATATATATTGATGCATATATAGAACAATAATTATATAATATAGTGTTATGATATCATTGCATTTTTTATATTTGTTGTTTTCTTTATTTACAATGCTACTTGTTTTTATGAAATGCACTTTTTTGCTCCCATGAACAGCCAAATGTGAAGTATTGTGTGAGATATTATGAAAAAAAGTCCTTCGATCTATTAGGAACATCAAAATTTCTATTTAATCAAGCATAATTTTTTAAAATGATGCAAGAATTACAAGACATTATAAAAGGGTCAAGCATGAGCTCAGCTTGATTTGGCTCAGTTCAAATTTTTGCCTGAACCAACTCAAAATGTTTTGATCAACCCTTAACAATATGAGTTTTGAAATATAACCATGAGTTTATAGGTGCTTATACAAACGGTCAAATTTGAACTTAAATAGCTCTAGCTTATTCTGATAGACTAGTCATCTTCGTCTTACAATCCTATGGCTCGAATGAAGAGAACCCCCCTCCTTTATGAAAACAGTTATCGTCAGACATTCATTGCGTGTTTGATAACAAAAGTTCAAAGTTTCATTCAATTTCTACACTTCTTAAGCCTCATTATATTTGTGAATTATTTGTTTATAAATCCTCCACTTAGCTAGAGAAGTAGACGCAACAAAAAAATTCTAAACATAGATGCACTTTTTTGTTGGATCCATACTAGGGCAAGTCAAGAAGCTTGTGGTTAGGTTGGCCATTAGGTTGGTAGGGACAAATTTTATTCAATCCTGATTTGCAAATTAAATTCAAGATAGGAAGACATTTTCTCAATATGTTGTATTACATAAATATGATAATTATAATATAATATGATCAAAATAGACTTAAAATATTTAAATAGTTTTAAATTTAGTTTATTTTGGGATAATTCTTAATAATTCTTGAAACTTTGGAGATGATTTTAAACATATGCATGAAATATTAAAGGTATTTTTATTTCACAAATATCTTTGACGCATACCGTTGTTAAAAATATTACAAGTAAGAAAATGAATCGATCAATCCAAAATGATTCTAACTCAATTGAACCATTTTGTTGTAAGACTAAAATTATTATTATCTTATTTTTTATATTTCAAAAGAATTTAGAGTCTTATTTTTAAAAATTGATTCATATAAAAGCTATGGGAGAATCAAATTAGTTTCCGAAACATTTAGAAACATAAAATTTTGGTAAATAATGGATAACAAATTCCTAGATTATTGAGAGGAAGCCAATAAATCAAAATTTAAAAAAACTTGATTTGATTGCTAAGCATGATTATTTAAATTTAATTATAATTATTTTGAAAATCATCCTTTTCTTTGTATTTCTCTAAATAGGATGATAAATGCTAGCCAGTATTTTTTTTGTCCGATTTTCAAGACAATAATTTGGAATTTTTTTATTATTTAGTAATTAGATACTCCTATCATCATAACCAAATGAGGCGTAAAACCAATTTAAATCATAGGAGTTGAACATTGAATTCATCAACACTATATTTGATATTCTCTCTCATTCTAAAATTCACTCAATAATTTCTCTTTATCAAACATTTATAATATATTTTATTTTCAGATCTACTTCCTTATCCTCCTGCATCGTCATTCTACAATCTATAATATATCATGTTAACTGCCCTTATATGCCAAACTGTATAATTTTAAATATAAAAAGGTAGCACAATGCAAATATGCAATCACCTTATAATAACTATAATGCATAATATTAAAAATAATAATAATAATAAACAATAATTGTAATTATCGCAAAATGATAAACACATACATATATATATATATATATATATGTCAGAATAATTGGAAAAAATGGAGCTAAAACGAAAATTAAGGTTAATTAAAAAAAAAAAAAAAAACCTGTGACTAGAATACTCATAGAGGCGGCCGCGGGAGGAGAAGATGATGAGAGCGACTTCAGCGTCGCAGAGGATAGAGAGTTCGTAAGCTTTCTTCAACAATCCATTCCTTCTCTTGCAGAAAGTCACCTGTCTGTTTGTTGTGCTCTCTATCCTCTTTATCTGTATCTTCCCTCTCCCCATCTCTCGAATTCAATCTCCTATTTTTCTTCTCGATCCCTAAAACTGAAATATATATATATATATTAGGCCTGAACCTTTTTAGGGTTAGGGTTAGGTTAAGGGTTTCATAAACAGCATCAGTTTCTACAACAAGAAAAATTTACAGCTTGAATATAGAGAACACAAATTAACTATATAACAGCTGATTTTGCTTGCTTAACTTCCTTTTTCATTTTAGGATTGAGCATACTTTCTTCAGAAGCCATGGCTTCTCATGTGATTCTGAAGACCGACATCTTCAGTTCAATTTTAGTCCGAGAAAGAGAGGGAGAGAGAGAGAGCAGATGATGGCTTACCAAATGGGAAGGGTGAAGCAGCTTTAACCCTAGCCTGAAAAGGAAGAAGAAGATGGAAGACGAGTTCCAAGAAATGCTGGAACTGGGACTATGCATGGCTATCGTATGGGTTCTCTGTTGTTTCCTTTTAAAGGAACCCATGGATTTATGATGTACTTGCGGAACATGTTAAAACATATGTTAGTTATGAATGAAGTTTAACTAGACGTTGCAAATTATTGATTAATCAAGTTTAAAGGCTCCAATATAAATTAAGGTTCTTTATTAATTTATTCCAAATTATCATAACATAATAATATTAAATTCAGGTCAACAGATTAATATTATATATTAAGGTTCCAGTTCATAAATTATCATAAGCAAATTAAGGCTAACTGTTATATTAATTAAATAATAAAAATTTAGACTAATTAATTAATTTAGTTTAGACTCTAATCTTCATGAATTGACACATTTATTATTAAAAAAACATAATTAATATTTTTTAATATAATTTATTGTTTTATAAAATGATGAAAACAATGATTAATAAGCGAAAAATAATAAGAGAATAATTGGGGAAAAATGTTGAATTAAAAAATTTATAGTGTTTTAGGACTTTAATGTACTTAAATTTGTTATTTACATTTAAAACTTTTTTTCATTGAGTCAATTCATGAAGATTAGATTATTATTGCAAATAGATGTTCTTACTTGGCTTAATTGATTGATCCAAGCTATGTATACAAGGAAGGCTATATAAGAGCATTTATATACATAACACTCAAATATTTAATATTACATAAAAAAATATCACTATTATTAACATTTTAAAAGTGAAATACCCCCTTTTTTGCATAGATTATGACTCTAAATGCTATAAATATAAATATTAACCTTTAGGTATTAGAATTGTAAATGCATAAGAATTATGTGATATGCATGTAAATTTCCCCTTTACATATTATGACATTTAGGTGAATGAAGTGTTAGAATTATATCAAATTTGAATTCTACAAACACTTTAAAGGCCTTTAAATACAATGATTTATTTTTTGCATAAATATCATGAGTGATTGCTTGATCATACTTAACATAAACCAAACATTTTGCAATAGGAATGCTTACTTAAAAAAGAATAATAGTGATGGGAAAGGAAAATAAAAATGAGAAATTTACATGTCTAGCACACAACTCTTATCTATTTACATATCTGACAGTCAAACTTACATATTTACATGAAAATGTATATTTCACTTTTTAAAAGTGATCAATGTGCTATTTTTGCTATGATGTTAAAGATTTGAGGTGCTATTTGGTCAAATATGAAAGTTAAAGTGAGAGATATGTAAATAAATAGGAATTTTGTTCCATGTATGTAAATGGGCCATTAAAGAATTATTGGGAGATTTCTCACGCAATGTATCTTTCTATATTGATTTTGATGGCCACACTTATTGCGAATGCAGGGAAAGGCTTAGTGACCCCAGCTTTAAAGGTTGAATTTCCCTTATTAGAAGGCCAAGCTTTTCATAAATTTTGTAGCATTTTATAAATATTTTTTATGCTTATGAAAATTAACTCAAAGTTAAATGTTTTTTGTATAAAATAATCAACTAGATACATTATATTTGATTATATATAGGAAGATTTACAAACATACCACTCAATTCCAATGTATTTACATATCTAATTTCCCTTTTTCAAAGTCAAAATAATGATATTTTTTGTCAGGATGTCTAGTTTCATCTGATTAGCAAAGCAAACTGTAAAAGTTTTGACTTTGTACATAATAAACTCAAATGTCTCTCTTGTAAATGACATTCAATAGTTGTGCCTTTCATATACAAAGCACAATTTTATACTATGATAGGTAACAAGCAACTACTGTAGTGACAATATTTCATGCCAAAAGCACCGTTTAATAGTGATAAAGCAACATCATGATACTTAAAATTTCTTCCAATCTAATAAAGAACAAAAAATTTATTTATCCTTGAATTGAACGGGACCATAAGCAAAGTTTATAAGCAAATTCAACTCTAAATTCTGTCATTTTTTCTTGCCAATTACTAAGTTCAACCCACTTTATTGGTCTTCTGCCCACAACAACTTCCATGTATTTACAAACAAATATTCCACAGTCAATACTATTTGTTTGTGTCGGTGGTCCTCTACATGCAATAATTGGCCAAACAGAAGGATTTGATTCAAATGCATCACCAACATCTTGAACAATTAGTTTGACCTTCAAATTTAATAATCAAGTAAAATTGTGTCAAACACTGTAAAATTAATAACTAAAAATATGACTAGAGCATGCATTAATAAATTTCCTTACAACTTCATGAGCTATATCCTTGTGTGTTTTTCTTGGCAGTGAATCGTATAAATGCCATTTTTTGGACTTCAATTCACCAACCAAGAGAGTCCAGTGCTCATTATGAATTATGGGAACCAGTAAAAGTTTTGACTTTTGAACATTTTCTCTATTTATATGTTGAACAATCGTCTTGCTATCCTTTTTAAATCAGGAATAAACCTGCAAAATAAGTCATATATATAACTTAGAATAAAACTGATGGATAATTTCTTATTGAATAATATTAGTTATAAAGTCACATGTGTGTGATTACCCAGTGCAAGCATGATATGTACAAGTATGGTTGGTATAATTGGGAAGATTTTTTTTTCTTATCTTCCAATAGAAGAGCAAATGCATCAATATGTTCATTCGCCAAATACTGATTTGTAAGAATTTCATCAATGGATGCTCTAGTAATTATAACACGGTCAACTTTAACTATCACATCATCCCTATAGTGTCAACATAACAACGGAATTATTTAAGGGCTAAATATAATTAATTTTTGAGCTAAAAAGAATTTGTAAATAAAGACTGACATATCATTGAAACGGCGACAGCATTGGTCGATCACTTCCAGCATATGTGCTGATATATTTTCTCTCCCAGGAAAGTCGACAACCTACAAACCATTGTGATGCTTTATATTCAAATAGCAAAGAATTTAAAAAAAAATGTGATGTTCTAATACATATTAAATGAACTATTTTAATGATACCTTCTCTACGAGTTGCTCTGTATCAATAACAGAAGTCTTGTCCTGACTTGTATCTGCAGCATTTGTTTCATTTTTTTCAGTGAAAGCTTCTTCAGAAACGTGCTTCAATGGAGTACTTACATATTCAACAATTGCATCGTCCTTCTTCTTTTCATGACCACCTTCAAATTCGACAATTACATTTTCTAGTAAACATTTTGTCGCAGCAACATTATTTGTCTCGTCCTCCTTAATTACAATATCACCAACTACCCTTTCCTTGTCGACGGGCTTAGTTTCAACACCTTTTGTGTTTTCCTCAGCATGTTTAACATCAATTTTTTCAATTTTTCTAATTCTCTTGCATTCATACATAGTGTAAGGGGAGCCTAAATGCCTTTTCTTTCGAACTTGTCTTGCCTTCACACCATGTACAACGCTGCCCAATAAAGATTTGTAAATTGGTTTTTTCTTTTGTCTTTCCTCAACAATTTTTAATCTCTTATCCAGCTCACTGATTTTATTATGTATTGAGGCTTCAAATTCAAAGAATTCCTTCTCATGAATTTTCATGAAATGAATTATTTGTTCAATGCTTGGATGTGCTTCAAAATTTGATGGTGATGAAGTATGAGCAGAAATTATTTGTTCAGAATAATATGTAGGAGAGGAGTCTCGGGGTGAGCTAGTAGTTTGGATAGTATGTATAATACAAGCCGGGCTTGATATATCATGAGTTGTAGGAGCTAGTAGTAGTAGCTCCTCATCCATTAAGTCCTTAAAAGAATCTAAAATCTACAATAACCAATCAATTAAATACCATGTTATGTAAGCAAATGTAATGTAATCTAATTATTAAATTAAAAATTTTTAGATGTTTTGTTACCTGTTCGGGCCTTGGGTTAGAGAACAAAATAGCACAAGTTTTTGTGCTCCAAGTTCTAATTTTTGACCACCTCATCATGCGAGGCCTAGCGTCGGGTGAGGTTGGAGGAAGAATGAAAGTATGCTCATAAAACCATATCTATAAAAAAGAAAAGTAATTAGGCTGTGTGGCTTGAAAATATAAATTTGTTGGTGTGTACAACATACTGACCATTAACAAAACAACAAAACCACTCATATCTCCAAGTGATAATTTCTGTTTTATTTTTTGCGTGACATCATCAATTTGCTCAATAAGAAAATCGCATATGGCACTTGGCCAATTGAATGAAGAGAATCTATGTACATCTTCAGCATAACGATATAGATCACTGGGGACTGTGTAATTGCTGGATGGGAAAAATAAGTTTGAAAACAGAAACTTTATGTATAGCTTGACAACAGAAGTAGCAGAATCCCCTGAATCAACCTTCATTATTTCATCCATTATTTGTATGGTATTAAAATCTGATAAGGGAGACTTCTCCCATTTTACAGCTTCTCCTCGATTCGGCATACCTATAATTAAGGCAACTGTGTCGGAAGTGAAGCTCAGATATTTACCTCCAATATTGAAAGATCTTTTGGAAATATCCCAACAATTCAAAATTTGTAGTATAAGAGAATTTTCTTGTCGGTATGCAGGCATCTTAAAAAATTGGTGTATGTTTAACTCTTTTAGAAGATTTATAGCTTCTTCATTCAAGTTCTGAATAATATAATCACAAATAGATCTTACTGATGAAGGATGGCAGCTATAGGTAAGCATTATTGGATTCATTTCCCTATAAAAAATTGAAATAAGAAATATTAGCTGAATCTGCTTATAAATAAAAGTGGAATAAAAATGAAATAGAATTAAAATTTTGGAATTAAATAAAATAAAAATAATTACATGTTGTAAAACAACAAAACATGGTATAGTGGTGTGTTACATATGGAAATACATGAACTATACATTGTGCTCCTCTTATAGAGAAATAAAAGGTTATGATTTTTTGCTTATTTTTTAGTTAAAAT